GGCCGCGGGAGGTCATAAAAAAAATAAAAAATAAATATAATTATTTAATGTTAAATTTATAATGTTTTGTTTGTAATATTAAAATATTTGTGTTCATTATTTGACTTGAATAATCCACTGTAATCATTTTTGTATTACAATGTTTGTAGCAGAGGCTATTTCCCCAAAATAAAATAACCAGAAGAGCCTATTCTTAATGTTGTCTTCTTGGTTATTATTTTGGGGGGCCACGCAGACCCGTCAGATTTTTAAGGGGGCCTCGGTGTTACTGAGTTTGGGAATGGCTGCCTTAGATAAAACAATTTACAGTTTAATTCTGGCTACCTGGAAAGCTACCAGAGAAAATGAGTATACAGAAAGACTCACATCATCTTGTAGATTGACATCAGCCCCTATGTCGAGCAAAAACTCCACAATAGCGGTGTGGCCAGCGGAGCAAGCCCAATGAAGAGCAGTTCTATGGTCCTAAACACATCAGAAAGAGGGCATTTTTACGGTGATGGTATTAATAAAAGGCATTTTCAAAGTTGCAGTGTAATTGTATAATAACAGATATTCTCAACACTGTTTATGGCCGTGTCACGCGTCGTACCTGATCCGTTTTGGAGGCGAGTCTTTTATCTGACAAAATGCATTGCCTTAATTTGTCAAATTGCCCAGTGTATGCGAAGTTGCAGATTTCCACATTAGATACAGAGCCCTCCATTGAGAAGTTAAAATCGCAGTTTGAGTTGGAACAGCAGTATTGGACGATGCTGGTAATTCAGATTTTGAACCGCGATGACTCAGGAATCGAAGAGTTTTACTTCCGCATTTTGACCAAAACAACAAAGTGAATCCTTCAAAATAAAATAAACCAAGTTTAGGTCTATATATTGTTTGCATTATACTATTATGTACGTCATATTTTATTGGTATGGGTTCTTCATATTTAAAAATACTGATACTTGCATTGATGTGAATGATACATTTGTGGTTTTGATTAACAAGTATATAAGTGGATATTTTATTCTTACAGGCGTATTCTCAGGGTGCCGGATGTAATACTTGTTTCAAAATGGCTTCGTGCTCACAGCACCATGGCTAGTTTCACTCATTAAAAATACAAATTTAACCATTCAAAGTTGCGTCACGACTCAACAAACCTTATAACATAATACATTATCGACGGTAAATGTGATCATGGCAAGTACACTGGTAAGAAGGTCGATTTTCATATTGTTTCGTTCACTGGAGATGAATGGAAAATGATCTTAATAATGTAATTGTCGTTGTTCTATTTAGGATTTCAGGACCCACGTTGACCAGTCGTGCAGATATTCTGAAGAATTTGTCAACATCTATTATGACTGTATGGACAAGAAAAGAAGGGTGAGTTTATACATGAAAACATGCTGTTCATCTGATAATAAGGTTGATGCTGATTTATTCTTCCTTAATGTGTGTTTGGTACTGACGTGAAACTTACCATGAGCACATCAGTAATCGGCTTTAATGTGGCCAACACAAAATAATGATGTATTCGTCGTATTAATTTAACTAAAAAGGGGTTTCGTCTTGTTACCTACAATGAGTTCAATATTTGTTCTTGCATTTTTAACTACCTGTTTTATGGTTTGCAACATTTGAAAAATTAACTCGGCAATAAATACCAAGTTGTTCTCATCATTTTGAAACTCATGGTTTGTATTGACTAAATTTACCACTGAGTGTTTTGAACAAACCCATTACACAGGTAAATTACACTTGAAGATGGTATCAATGTAATACAAATGTATTGCAGTCTTATAGATCCATGATTGCAGTACACAACATTACTACTCTAGAGGGTCCCGAATATTGTTACCAAGATAGACCCCTGCAGTAGAAATTACTGTTGAAGTCAGCACAGAATCTACTCCTGTACAAAAGCCTGTACTCCTATGTACAATTGCAGAACCTGACTCGCCTCTACCTGGACAAAGCCACTCTGGTGTGGAATGGGAATGCAGTGTCTGGACAGGAGGCGCTGGCTGAGTTTTTTGAGTCTCTTCCCTCCAGTGAATTCCAAGTTCTTACATCAGATTGCCAGCCAGTTCACGGTTAGTACGTGTCCTTCAAACAAATCCAAACATTATAAGGGTAGGCACAAAACAACAATACTCTTCAATTATGATAACGCACATTCTTGCAGTTCATCACAATGGGCAGGACATGACTCCTGTGATTTTGGTGGTCCCCCTCTACCTCATATATTTTTATTTTAATACCAGTACATGCTGTTGAGTTTCTTTTTTTGTATTTCAAGTGCTGTCTGTTTTGAAGTTTATAGCTGTGGGAATACAATCTTAAAAAAAAAAAAAATACATGCATAGTATTTTACTCAATTTATTTTGGCAGTTTATGGTACCTCAACTTTCAATTTATCAGCTTATTTTGTATGTATTCGTTTTTTTATGTTCTTGTAAACTGGACCAGCATTCTCATGACATGTAAAGCCTGCAGTCGTTGCTTTGTTTGTCTCCGCTAAATGAAGTTGGTTAATTTTTTTCAATGATTTCCAGAGCAAGCAACTCAAGGCCAGACGACACTGCTCGTGGTGACTTGTGGGCTGGTCAAGTTTGAAGGAAACAAGCAACGTTATTTCAACCAGAACTTTCTTTTAACGGCACAAGCTTCACCAAACACTGACCAACCAGTGTGGAAAATTGCCAGCGACTGCTTCCGGTTTCAAGACTGGAATAGCTGAGTTGCTAAAATCTTGCATTTTTACCTTTTTTGGCAGTTTCATTATTCATTTACTTGTATCCATTTTATAATAAACACAATAAGTTTACAAAACTGTTTTATTGTTTTGAGAAACTTGGAACAAAGCGCATGAACAATAAATAACTGATTTCAGATGTGAGGGGACAGAAGTAAAGCCAACATTGTATGAATACAGAATTTCCTGACTGAGGTTATGGCCAAACAGAACATTTACTGTGGCAATATGTACACTTCTGTTTGGACCTGCTTTTTGTACACACAACAAACTTACAACCTCATAAATATCATTCGCCCAACTTTCCTGAGTCATTTATGGTGTTTGGCATCAACAATAAATTAAAAGGACCATTGTACAAGAGTAGAAGCTTTCCTTTACAAAAATGCCAATTACAATAATACATATTTTAAGCTTTCCCCCCAATTACCTCAAGTAAGCAAAGCCTAGCAAGCCATCTTTGAAATATCTTATGTAAACTTTTCCTCTATGCCACAAATCTGCCTTACTACACAAAGCACAGCAGATGGAAGGCACAGTAACGTTGAATATTACAAATAGCACTGCACAGGTTCTTTGACTTGAACTACATCATGTAAATATTCAGTTGAAGTAACACCAAAGCTTTAACTAAAGACCAATATTAATCTTGACCTACATAAGGAGTGCTAAGGTACTTCTATTGACCTACAAACCTAGTTCAGCAGATGTGGCAGTATGGCAGTCTAGAGCTGGAACTCATTATCCCTCTTTGCAAAAAGAGACTTGGCATCTCTAAACATTCAAAACCATTATTTCCCACACACCATAATCCAACAGCACAAATCGGAGCGGCACAATACTGTATATTGCACTTTTGTCAGCAAAATAAAGGAGAGTAATTAGAAGGAAAGACCCTCCGCCTATATACAAAGACACAGCTATTGTACATTAGGTTTTCTCAATAATGTGCAGCCCCACTTTTAGCGTGTAACTTCAAAAGCCTACTAATCCCTCGGAGTATATGTACAGTACACAAACAGCGTTTTACTTCATATCACAGGTTTGTGTTTTTACAGTGGTGATGGTTGTTGTGACGACGCAGTGTTCATTCAATTTCATTTTCCTCCGTACATTCGCTCAATGTGGTGGAGATAGTGGTTCTTCAGCTCTTTCCTCTTCAGCTTAAACGCGTCTGTGACCAAACCAGTTTCAGGAGTCCACGGCTCCGGACTCAGATGGACCTTGATGGGGATCTCGAACCTCTGGAGTTTAACTAGAAAGAAAATTGCATTTGTAGAAATACTCAATTACACTCAATTACTCAATACTAGTATAGGTCTCACATAGGCCTAGAACAGTAGTATGACATTGTGAGATTTTAAGTAATCGTTATAAGTTCTCAGTTTGGTCAAATGTGGTAAAAGATAATGCTTATAAAATTACTACATTATTACGTACATATCTTTAAGAACTTTTAGAGATTATAATGCAGTTTAAGAGAAATGTTGTTATGCCAGCAAGAAGCATAGCAGGGATTATCATTTTCTTTTTAGCCCTAATAAACCTTTAATGCCAAAACAGCATGGTCGACTTTTCCTGGTTTTCAATGACGGTACCAAAAGCAATTTAATGCCACTTTCGTCTCATTTAGAAAAAAAAAAAAAAAAAGGATAAAACGTAATACTCTTTATGGATGATTTTGCTCCAACTCGCACTGGTTCCAACTGACTTTGTGCCACATGCTATGATCCCTGGGATTTTTATTTTGGTATAGTTTTAGTAAATCCAAATATGAGCCACATAAGGATTGACTAAACTTCATTAGCGGGGGAAACAACAGCTTGCCTTAGCAACCATCATAGCAACACAACTGCCCCCATTACGGTGTACAGCTATTGCAATTGGAACGAATGCCCATATAAAGGAAATTGGCTCCAGTTATCTTATGTTCAAATAAGCTTCTTCTATATTCAGCAAACACTATGGGCAACATCGGCACTCGGCCCGTCCTAATATGCAGTCTATGGTTGTTACATTGATTTCAAAGCAAGGAACAGCGTGAACATTTTACAAGGAAATGTTAGTCTTTGTCATCATTAACTGTGACGTCAGAGATACGTCAAGCACTGTCAATGTTTTTAACTGTTGAATCTTTAACTTTCACCAAATGTAGGCTGCAGCCATCTCCAAATTTTCAAGTCATAACTCAAAATTTGACACCCACATGCTTACGGAACTCACCATTACTGTGAACGGCGACCTCCTTGATCTCCTTCAGAACCTCCCTCTCCATTTCTGGATGTGTGCAGATTTCTTCAAAGGTGCCGGTTACACGCCTCTGTTTGGCCAACTCCATCATTTTCTTCTGATTTGGCACCACAAAACTTATGACATAGTTCTGCTCACTGTCAGAAAGGAGTGAAAATGTAATAAATGTATGTTCTCGTGCTACATCATTTGGTATCACAAAGTTTTTCATTCTGACCATTACTTTAATTAGTATTTTATGCTTGAGAGTATTCAAAGTACAGCAGAGATCCTCCAGCAGGATAATTACAGAGTGTGCACTTAATTACTACTGTAGAATCAGTGTGGGAACAGAACTCTCCACTGGATCTTTAACCGTGTGTTTGATCATGAAGACCTGGTCCTGGTAGCTCACCTGTTTGCGTAGGCACAGATGTTGTCAATGAGAGAACTGTTCTTCAGAGCAGACTCCACTTTACCCAAAGAAACATACTCCCCCGCCTGGAGTTTCACCAAGTCCTTTTTACGATCTGGGGGGGATAAACAATGAAATTTAGTACAATAAACATATTACTTATTAAGATTAAGTTTAGATTAAGAGATCCTATAATTGTCCAACAGTGGGGAAATGTCAGTGTTGCATCTCAACTTACAGATATTAGGAATGAAGAGCACAAACACAAGATAAATGAACAATAAGTCTAATAATAAATAAAATTTAAAAAAGAAGAATGTAAAATCTCGCCTTAACATAATAAAGAGCAACTTAATGAATTATGGTCCAGTATATGGAACAATATGAAATATAAATCCCCGTACATAACTCTTTAGATCATTTTTATCAATATAGTCTATTTATCATAATATAATGGTAGGTTTTACAGCATCAAACATTCTTTAAAAAAGTATGAATGTGTTTTGAGGTAGCATGCATCTCGACAAACCTAACTTGTATTTGCCCTGGAAAGAGGACTCCTGTTTATTTACCAAAATGAAGTATGGTTTTTACTTTTTATTATCACAGAATCATGCAGTTTATTTTCCACCTCCAGAATCTTTAAAGCTGTTGTTTAAAGATAAGATAGGATTTAAACTAGATATATAATTAGTGAGAGTGGACACAAAAATAAAAGAGTCCCTTTATCTGATGACATTGACCATGTCCTTCAAAGCCAGTGTCACAGAGACGTCACAGTACTGAGCTGAAAGGCAAAAGCAGGAAGGACCCAGAATGGAATCAGCCACATAGTAAAATGAAATACCACTGAACTGGTAAAGCCACGTCAGTTTTAACCTGGAAAGCCACACCCACTTCATTTCCGTACAGGTTGCAGAAGGTTTTCACTTCTTACTTGACGCACGGCTGTGGTCATGTCTGCTGTTTGATGATTGGTCTATATCTCCATCAGTCTGCGCACATTGGGCCCTGCCTGTTCCAAATGCCAACATGACTGCACAGTGCACGCCATGACTAAGTGTTCCAGCTTGTCAGGATACAGGCTTTATCAATAATCTCTCCCCTTTTGTGAATGTCTCTTGTGAGATTATTTGTTTTAGTAGGTTCTTACGTCACTGTCCTGCATACACACAAACTCAGACCAAGAAATCATGTCCCTATTTTATCATCCCGACTATAGAAAATAATCTGGATGTCTTAGAATGAGTTTTGTTTAAGAGCATCAAGTTAAAATCCCTCTGGTTTAATTTGACAAAAATTTAAGTGACAGAGGCTCATTCTACTTCCAGCTAAGCCCCGCCTACAAGACAACATTACAGTGGTTCTAAACTTTAATGGAAGCATAAATGTTATGCTCCAGACAGTGAAAAGTTGACATACCAACAATCTGAAGACAGCCGTCGGGATGAAATTCCCCAATGTCACCGGTGCAGAACCATCTCTGTCCTTTTTCGTCCACAAAGAAATCGCTGTCATTGTTTTCGTGGCTATAATAACCTTGAGTGACATTGGGACCCCCAATCAGGACCTCTCCTCTGGGATTTGGCTTGTCATTGTGGGTGTAGCCTCCTAAGAAAAAAAAAAAGAAAAGTGTAGCATTAGATCCGTGCCAGACGTGTAATTTAAACATTCCTGTGTAAGTGCGTTTCAGAGTGTTTCAAACCACACCTTCCACCCAGCCTCGGAGCCGGATTTCACAGCAAATAAGAGGAGCCCCAACACGACCAGTACTGATGTCGGCAACTGCAACAAGCGTGACGTGTGATTAGAAAAATATATTACAAATCAACAATTATCAAAACTTGGGAACCTAAACGTTTTTGTTTCATAAATAATATAATTGTGACAGAAAGTGTTTTATAAAAGTCAAATGTACTGTGTGTACCTCATAATAAAAAAAACAAAAAAACAAAAAAAACATATTGCATACTTTCAGAGCCCAGTGAGTCACTATTTTAATTCAATTTATTGAACAGCAGTCATCTCGAAAGACTTTACAAAACCGTTGAATGTGCCAACAAAGATCAGAGAATCAAACAGTTCAAACACAAGAACATTTGATTATTTGGGCCGAGAGACAAGAGTGGTCGTCTCCATTTCTCTTAGTGAAAAAACCTGGGTACCTTCGGTGATGGTGCCCGCCCCGCAGGTCTCGGTGAGCCCGTAGCCCTGTCCCACGGGGCAACAGAAGCACACGTTCATGAACCTCTGAGTCGCCGGAGACAAAGGAGCACCTCCAGACAGCATCATCCGCACCCGTCCTCCCAAGAGCTTTTTTACTTTACGGAATAACAGGCTGTGAAGAGACAAAAGTGTAATTATATACACAACTGCACAAGGTGTCTATATCCTTATCTTATACTAGAATGTGCAATATACTGCTGCTAATGTACAGATGTAAACATACTGCTGCTAATGTGCAGTTGTAAACATACTGCTGCTAATGCACAGATGCTAACATATAACTACACTTTACTTGCACTAGATTACACAGTACTTTATACTTATCTATTATATTTTCAAGATAGATTTTATACTTATTGATGCTAGAGTTAGATTGTTTTTATTTTGATTAGTATAGCTATTGTTCACTTAACGTGTGCTGTGTGCTCCTCTTTCCTACTGTTCTATAACCTGTGATGCAACACCGAAATTTCCCCACTGTGGGACATATAAAGGATCTCTTAATCTTAATCACCTGAGAGCTTTAACCCCAGACTTATCATTTAATCCGCTTTAAAACAACAAATTGAAACGATGTTATAAAACCCATCCAACTGATTTTCACACGTATGCCTTTTTAAAAATGCATGCGTCACATCTTAAGAGCAGCTTTTGCACAGAAAAGTGAAAAAGAGAGGACCACCCTAACTCAGCCAGTCAGCTCTCAGCCTGACTAAAATAGTAACTCACAGGGCTTGCAGAATAGTATGCAGAAGAGAAAATGGTTTGTTTTGGTCTTATTTGTACTTTTTGATGGGACAAATAACATTGACTCTTTATATTCAATAAATAATCCATTTTATTTGTCCAATTAAAAAGTACAAATTGCTGGTAATTTGATAAAGCCCCAAGGGTCAAGAGAGTGACTTGAGAGCCGATTGGCTGAGTGAGGGTCCTCAGCTAGTATATGACAAGAGGCCAAAATTATATGCATGTGAAAATTAGTGATAGAACCAAACAGTTTTGAGAGCAAGGATCTAGCTTGATGAATTTTATTACAGAAGTTAAATTTGTTGTCGTTTGAAAGTGAGCTATACATTCTAAGTACACCCTACTAGGTACTTGTGAACCACCATTATTTCTGGTACCCCTGGTTTGTGAGTATGTGCATGATGTAAAATACATCACTCACATACTCACAGTGAAATTGAAATAGAAACTCACACATTACACAGAGGTGCATCATATCCTCTCCTGATCTGCTCCAACTTGTACTTGTACCCCAGCGTGAAGAGTGTCCTCTGAACATAGCTCATTTCCTGCACTTTGCTCATGACGTTTTTGTTGATGCGGTCCATTATTTCCTTTGAAGACAAAACCAGGTCGACAAGGAGAAGGTCATTTCCCAATCAAAGCCCAATCAACACATGAATAACTCAATAAAAGCCTCTTACGGGCACAGCAGCCATCAGGGTGGGACGGAGCACGCTGCTGTCTCCTTTGCTTCCCTTCTTGATCTTTGTCGACTGAAACGGGAAGAGAAATGTTTGTTTGAAGGCACAAATTGGTTGAAGATGGTATGTTGATTGGGTTCATGTGATGTGTAACGTTAGAGCTCTCACAGCTCACAAAAGACTGGAATTTGGGAGATAATTTATTTTAGAACCATTCTTTGTCATTCTGTTATGTGTACGGCAAGGGACTATATACTTAAAGTGGTCAATTCATCATTAAATGGCCCCAATATGTCAAAAGGCATTAATAAATCATGCTCTTTTCAAATACTTCTTGAACTGATAACAGTACTTCAGCAGGGATTTTCTAATTTCAAAATTAGTTTTACAGCTATTACTAAATATCGTTATTGTTTCCATTTCAATGCCCTGCCCTCCACTGTTTTACCAATCAGAAAGTCCGTAATCCGAGTTGCCAGAACTCACCGCATCGAGCTAATCTCACTCGTAAAGTATGTCAGGCCCATCCATCCATCCATCCATTTTCTACCCTTTAATCCATTTCTGGGTCAGGGGGGTGGCAATCAGAGATGCCACCCAAGTCTCATAGCACCAGCCCCTCACTGACCCTCTGCAGGTGGTGAGTCCACAGGAGGACGGCTGCTCTCTGAGTGTGAGCATAGCCTTGATCTTTCAGTGGGGGCTTTTGGGCAAAAGTATGTCAGGCCAAGAAGTAAAAAAGGTCTCGTTATGATTCTCAAATCCATAAAGACACAACAAGGTTAGAAACGAGGATTTCTACCAGGAATGCCTTTGTGAAAGAGATGTTGGTTATTCTGGTCCCAGCTGGATTTGTCTGCATATCTGGCAACCTGAGTCAGGCAGAGTGGGAGAGGTTGCAGTACAGCTTTTGGCCAGATTTTGTCTTATAGATCATTTCATTTTGATTATTACAATTAGAGATGCCTGTGTATTTTTAAACGCAAACGTTTCTTATCATCTTTCTGTAGTTACCTGTTGGATGAACCAGAAAGGTCCCAACATTTTACAACCCAAGATTATAAGGAGTGGGTTTATGTGTCTGTTGCACTGACTTAAGAGATTTATCCATTTTTGTCTTCTCCCTTGTAAACGCACTGTGGTGAAATTCAATAGCTACATTGCATAAAATACTTTACCTGGTCCGACAGAGTTTGAGGAGACGAGTATCCGATCTGACAGCCATAAGTGACGCAGGAGATTTCTGCGGTCATCTCCAGGACGTGAGCCAGGGGCAGATATGCAATGTATGTGTCGTTAGGCCTGCCACAAAAACAACCACACGTAAGAACCGAGAACTCACTTTATTTCAGTTCAGCCTTTTCAGTTCACCTTTCACTACAGCTGCATTATTTCAGCTTGGGATGCAAATGCGTATTTTTTAAGGTGAGCATAAAACGTAGCGCATTCACTTCCACCTCATACACGTAAACCAACACAAACAAGAGACATAAGAATACAAAACAAGCCTGTACTCACCCCAGTCCAGGGATGCGCTCGCACTGTCCCGTCATCCCCGCTATCAGGTTGCTGTGAATGATCATGACCCCTTTTGGACTTCCTGTGGAGCCACTTGTGTACATCACCACCGCAAGGTCTGAGGACTGTGGCTTCACGATGGGCCTCTCCACTGCAAACACAAGACAAACCAATAAGTGGGTTCATGATGTAGAATTCTTGTGATTATTGTGATTATTATTGTTGGGAAGGTGCCAATACAACAAAGAAGCTTATTTTTTTTATCTTGAGAAATGTTGAAAAATAGATCCAAAGGTTTTCCACCATCATTATTTGAGAATTATTAGATTCACAAACTCCCCATATTGTTCTTGTGTTCTGTCTGCGGAACTGTCTTTTGAATCTACTTTAACACAATCCATAACCTTGGATATATGGTATGGTGAATATATGGATTATGGTTCTCACAATCTGAAAGGAAAGATACATAAATAGAACAATACTCACGGTTTTCGGGCAGGGCTCCCAGATCTCGAACAGACTGCATACTGTGGATGGAGAGTCCTGCTGTGTACCCATCTGTGTTGATTTTCTTTTGGTCGACGTAAATCACATGTTTTAATTTGGGGATTTGAGGAAGGACATTCTGAAACAGGAAAGTAAAGAATTGGAACGGATAATGTTTTGTTTTTCTGCCATAGGTCTCAAGGGTTACTATGTAGGTTCAGTAACTATTGATTAGAATTAGGATGTTTACTTAAAAGCTACCTACCTTTGAAACCATAGAAAATAACTATAATTAAACACATTTCTATCACTAGTTTCCGCATGCATGTATTTCTGGCTTCGGGCCTCAATAGATCAGCTTTTTCAGTGAAAAGGAGAGATCCACCTCACTCTCAATCAATTAGTTCTCAATATGTAATGTAAAATATAAATAATAATAATAATGCATTGGTTTTATATAGCGCTTTTTTGGACACTCAAAGACGCTTTACATGTCATTATTCTTTCACTCTATACACAGTGGTGATAAACTACTACTGTAGCCACAGCTGCCCTGGGGCACACTGACAGAAGCGAGGCAACCAGTATGGTATGGTTGGTGGTGACCCCTCCGACCACCACCAACCATTCGCACACACACCAGACTCATTCTAGGCAATGGGGGTGGCAAAGTGTCTTGCCTAAGGACACAACAGCAGTTTGGCACTTTACAGCTGCAGGCGCCCCACTGTGGCATCTGGTGTTCCCAGAGTTTAAGTATAAAGACAGAATGTTGGGGTCCGATTTGTTCATAAAATGTTACTTAAACAAGACTTGTTGTTTCAAACATGTATTTATGAAAAAAAAAAGGTAGTCCAGCTTTAACCTTTCATGACACAAATTTATTTTTGTATTTCTTCAGTTTCATAATATATAAAATATTTTGTAGCCAGATGATACGGTAAATTGCAATGTTATAACTAAATATTATTGTATTAAAATAAAAATGGCATTAATAGTATAAAAACGTCTCTTTCCTCATTTGCCTTTGTACACATCTCGTACCATAATAAAATAGTGATGTAATGCCCCTGTGTAGTGCTGAGTAAGAATGTTTTGCATGCCATCAGATCTCACAATAGTGTAATTCACAGTACAAGATAGCGTGTCTGATAATTATCCAAACAACTTCATATTTACACAAACAAAACATTTGTTCCTCGCACACACATGCTGGCAAAGCTTTTATGGACATACTTTGAGTTTAGTCTCCAACAGCTCTGCGCTGGTAACAAGGTGAGTGACGCCGGTCTCATTCAGTCCAAAGGCAATGGCATCTTCTCCCAGAGTGGCGTAGAAGGTCACCACTGAAACAAAAAACAAATATAACACTGAACTTCATCAGACAGGCCCTAACCCATGCTCTAACAAATCGTTTAAGGAAGTACGTAAACAAAGAGTCTTCACTATTGTACGGGTTTACCTTTTTAGCCAAATGTGTTTTTAAAAAAGGTGGAGTACCAAACTTTCAAATCACAACAAAATGTAACAATGGACCACTAGATCGCTGAAAAGTGTATGGTTTTAGTGAAAATGTACCCTGTGAAATAGAGAAATACAATACATTTGCATACTGTAAGAGTATGCAAATGTATTGTGTCATATGAAATATAAAATACAGATCAAGACAGCAGGTTTTTTTTTTACCTTTAATTTTTACTCCAGCTTTAAATCAAATTATTTGTCTACGTCTTGAATCCAAAAGCTACACAGTCCCAAACATAATATAATTAACAGCTAAACTACACCAAGTGATGCAGGATAATGCAATTTAAATGTTGCGTGCCTCTTGACAATAAAAGAGAATTGGGTCTTTGTGTGATAAACCCTGAAAGATTCTGCTGAAAATCAGAATCATAAACAAGACATTCTATTCACATGTGACACGTTCATTGCTGTGCACTTAATATTGTACTCACGGGGAAAGTTCCGCCGGAAGCACGACTGGGCAGTGATCATCCATTCAGCGCGGGTCTCACAGAAGATGGCGATGCAGCTTTTGGGCTTTTGCCCGAGGGCGGCCAGTCCACTGCCGAACTCATCTACAATGGTGTCCACTTCATTATAGGACAACCATTTGTATTCTCCAAGGATCAGCTAAGAGGAAAAGGGAGATGATAAGGCTATGTTGTGTACTTAGTCACACACTTATACTTGATCAATCGATTTAGAGCCTGTTTGTCCGTGGGAGCAGATCCCTCTCAATGTTAGAATCCCCAAGGTTTCTCACTTTTTCCCACTGGGGTTTTTTGTTTCGTTCTTCCTAGGGTCTGAGGACCTCAGATGACATGTATTCACTTTATGGACATCGTTCATTCTGCTCCCTATGGACCCATGGCTCCTACTGTATGTTTTTGTTAATAATGTATTTCCTGTGATCAAACTGTTTTATTCTCTGATCTGATCGACAACTTTGTAAAGTCCTTCAAGACAAATGCAGTTGTAGTTTAGGGCTATATAAAAAATACATTCAATTCAATCATGATTAATCAAATCATGCACAATTCATTTTTTCCCAGTTTGGTACTAGATTACATGAAGCCCAGTTTATTTTGAATGTTGTAAACTTTTGTGGTCTGGGTTCATGTTATCTAGTTTAGTTGCAATTTCATCTGAAAATTTGTTTTATTTTACTATGGGTCCTGCAGCCGCTAAAAGGTATTAACTAAAGAAACAACTTCTAAGAATTGGAACCAGCATTTGATCTGTAATTTGGTACTATTCACAGTCTTCATATTCTGTCCTTGTTCTCCATGTGGAAGCAATTTTAGAATATACCTTCTCAGCAACCTAACCCTTATCACACTATAATATTATCCCTTTCTCTTTACAAACAGGATTTATCACTTGGAAATTATCTTCACAACTTATTAAACAATTTCTTCGCATATACAGTGCGTACAAACATTTAGTTAGCTTAGTGAGTTTTTTCTTACCTTTTTAAATACTTTTCCATTGGGTTGCACCTCATTCTCTTCACTGAGTAAGTCTCTTGTACCGAGACAGTGCAACGAGCCAAATCTCTCTACGGCATGGTTAAAAAGCTTGTCCAGTGTATCTTTCCCAGGGAAGTCCTCTTCGGCCAGGGACTCAAAGTGATCAACGCATCGGTATGGCCCCTCCACTTTTCCCAAAGTGGACTTGGCCTTGGTCCGGCTTGACAGGATCTTCTTCTGACCAGCACCGGTGATGTAATACCATGGGATGAAAGAGATGAGCGACCAAAGCCATATAACAAGGTAGATAGGCAGCAAGACTACATATTGTACACTAGAGTCTGGCCGGAGACCCATAATGTTAACAACGGAAGGAGAGCTCAGACACCTGGTGTGTAAAGTAATCAAGTCTTTAAAGTATTTGTGTTTGGAAGGAGTGTTCAAATTGGAAAACTTTATGACAAAGCAGGAAACGCCCCGCTGAGTCGTCAAATCCTCTGGAATCCGCCAAGAAGGAAAAGAAGGGATCTGCTGCACAGGGGTCCAGATTGTTAACCTACAGATCACACAAAAAAGGGTAAAAATCAGGGTGAGACAAGCCTTACATTAAAAGCAGAAATGGAAGTTCTGTTAGAAAGACTAAAAAACGGCTGTGCCATAACATTTACTGTTATGTTTCTATATCACTGGTTTGTCTGTTTGTATCATTCTGTATTAAACCAAAGTAAAACTCTTACCCTCAAAGTCAGAATTCACAATTCAGGACTAAAACATATTAATAAAAAGAAAAAAATGCTTGTTGAATCAAAGCAAACTCCTGGCTTAAGAAACACCTGTCTGAGCCCTTCAGCTCTCTGATGGATATAGCAAGGTCAATGCTGTGTCCTATGGTGAGACTGTCCATCAGCCAATGGCCACAGCCCTAAGAGAGAAGAGGATCTCAACTCTGGCAACCAATACAAACACTCTGAAAGCTCACGCCACAGTGGATGACTGAAAGGGCACTCTAGGGCAAACTGAGCACAACACCAACCTCTGGCTGAAGCGAAGCTAAAGTGAAATGATGATGATTGAATCCAGCACTGCTCTGTTCCTGATTCTCCATAATGATCTAATTAGAGCCTTGTGACAAAACCAGTACAAATCAGCAAAGGTACAGAGGGACATGTTTGTAATCAATTGACTGCAGAATATAGTGCTGTCAGCGATCACGTGAGACTGTGGCGACCACATTGGTGTTGCAAAACATTGATCTGAATACTCAGTCTGGACAAGTACAAGCAGCGCGCGGAGACTCATCACACAGCGCGTCATCAAATGTTGCCAATTAGTTATTTTTTTCCACTACTGATACACAAAAATTTGGCCGTAATATTTTTTTGTTTTAGTTTGGAATTGAAAGTTGTAAAACGATTTGTAATTTGGTTTCAATGGAATACAATTGTATTTAATACGTTAATCTCCCAGACTTTTTTATCTAAAGACCCTGCGAATTTATTTTGGGGGAATGACATAAAAAAATGGTCCATCGTTGAAATACATTTCGTTACATAACAGCAGGTCTATTACACGTTGGGTGATCTGGAGTAAGGTGTTGGTACACAAAGCGTGGTTCGGATGCGCTCAGGAAGACAATAGCAAGTAACAGCGGGTGAAATAAATAAAGCTATGGAGCGCTACATTAATACATAGGCATTTTTTTCTCATGCAATATTGATTCAAATGCTAATATTCCATTGAGGCCGACGCGTTTTGGCGGATCTTTGTGACAAAAGCACACGCGTTGTCTGTAGCATCATTGAGCGGCAACTTGTCCTCATCTGTGGAGGATGTGGAGGCAGGCACCAGGCTAATCTACGGAGGTGATGATGCCCTTCCTGTGGCCAGCTCGTAAGGGTTACCCAGTACTAATTGGCATGAATACGGCTTACCTACCTTGGCTCAAGAGGAGAGAACCCGGTCAGTAGTGTGCGAGTGTCGGCGGGGATGAGTGACCGACAGTAACCTCCGAGGAGCGAGCGAACCCGGAACTATAACGTCATCTGGGTCCATGTGCCTGAACCAATCAGAAGGCACGCCCAAACTGCCCTATTTTCCCCTTACGTCTGCTTACGTCTATCAACCCCCTCCTCTCTCTCTCATGTCAACAAAGGCAGGGAGAAATGAATCACGCCAGCTTTAAAGCGCGGATGCATGAACTAAAAGAACCACATATATTTAACACATTTCAAATTGAGTATTATTTATTTTTCCTTTATGAAAATTACACAGCAGAAACATACACGAACACACACAGGTCCAACATGGAATGGAATAATTATGCATATTTTTTAGCAATGGGCGGCGTGACGTCATTTCCTGTTAACGCAGATCAGCCCGTTCACTTCCTGCCTATGCTATCCTATGGCTTTTAGGTGGGTTTTAGTGACATTTTTTAGTAATTAGATTGATACATTCAGCTGTGAGACTGACCCAAAAGTGTGGACGTGCTTTCTCTCTGAGGTAGAGCTTTGACTGTGGCCACTCAGAGAGATTTGTAAACTTTATAAAAACACAATGACAGCACAATCAAAGAGCACTGCTGTGTCGCCAAAAATGCCCAGTATCCTCACAGTCTAATTCTCGTTTGGGAAACTCGTGTAAACCACTGCTGAACTCCAGTGAAACTCAAGCCGTTTCCTGCGCACATGAAGTGAAGTTGGGTTGTAGCTAAAAGGCGGAAGTGGTGCGTGCATAGAGCCCATTGTGGTTATGAGAATTTTTACTTTGTCATTTTATGTTTTTTATTTGTGAAAGTATATCATAGAAAACCCAGGGACAGAGACTGGTAAATAAAAAGTCGAAAGTCTTGTGTAAATGCGAACGATATGTTTAATTTGTTTTTTTTGTTTTGTTTTTTTTTGTTCAAATTTGAAAATTAACGGCTGCAAATACAAACGTATGGACCAGCAGCAAAAAAACACTGGCAACATGTGAGAAAAGAGAAAATCCAAGGCAGGTCTTGACAGTAAATTTAACAATCCTTTAATAAAACTGTTCTCTAAAAGGATTTTCATTTACTGTCAAGAGTGCCTCGGATTTCCTCTGACAGAAATGTGATTGTAATGATCGTAATTTTACATGTGAGGTTTAGTGCAAATACAGATCTGCGCTGAGTGAGCATGACATCATATAATTAGAGTATGAGACACAAGCATTTAAACGACTCCATGTTTGTTTGAATTTATATAATCTGTTCTCATTAAAAGGCAGATGTTGAAGATGGATACTGAAGAATTTACAGTTAGCTATGAAACATAGCAGCCACTTATGTTGTAAATTTTGTGTTCTCCCTGTGTGCTCTTACTACTGTCCTGTATGTGCGCTGCAACATTGAAATTTCCCCACTGTGGGACAAATCTTATCCATCTTATCTTATAAACAATGCAGGCATTTAGTTATCCTGAAGCATCTTTCATTCCCGGAAAGCAATATGTGTCAAGTAGGCTATAAACTAGGGGTGTGACGATGTATCGATTTTTCAATATATTGCTATACTTTCTCCCGCGATTCGATTATCGATATGCATTTGCCAAGTATCAATATCCATTTTTTGTTGGTTTTTTTTTGTTTTTTTTACATAAAAAATACATAAATAGGTATCAATACTTAACTCATTGAATGCCAGCCTATTTCAGAACAGGTACTCCCACAGTGCCAGCCATTTCTGATGATTTTTACTAATTTTTCAAAACCCACAGAATATTGTGTACTATGACTATCTGAAATCCGAATCCACCAGATTCTAAAAGAATGGACTGTCTACTTTCCTCAGCAAAAAGAATTTTGTTTATAGCTTTTTTCGTTCCCCTGTAATCCTCCGTTGAGTAGAGGAACGTTTTACTGAAATCACCAGAAATCACCAGAAAGTTGAGAAAAAAGAGGCACAACATGTGCACCTACATGTTTTCAAACCATTCAGAGAGAAATGCTGCCACCTGCTGGCTCGATAAAATATGGTCTCAAGTCATCCCCATACATATTAGATACAATAGACATCTGGGAACGTGAAAATAGCGAAAAAAGCAATGGCACACGACGTTACTATTTGCTTTGACGTATTTGTGCGTCAATGGGACACATATGGCTATATTACGCATCTCCATTTCATTTCATTTTTCATTTTTCTTTTATTTATGCCATAAATTGGCATATTGTATATTTCTGACCAATATATCGATAATCGTTATTGTGATATCGTTATCGTGATATCGTTATCGTGAGCTTTGTATCGTGCATCATATCGTATCGTGAGGTACCCTTAGGTTCCCACCCCTACTATAAACCCAATCAGAAACGTTGGATGGCACCTCTCTAACGCTTCGGTGAGTTTTGTGGTCACAGGTTTAATATTGTCCCATTATCATGTGGCCTGCAATGAAATGTGTACCAAAAAAGAACTGTACCGCTGCAGAGGAAGTTACAAAATAACAAGACATTGTATGGACTTTTTGGGCCTTTGGATAATTAAATGGCTATTGGCTAATAATTTAAGTGGCTAACATGTCTTTCTATAGTCTTTTATAAAAGAGTAAGTGAGTCATTGACCAGTTTTTTGATTAAAAACTGTAATTTGAGGTTTTGAGTTCAATAATGATGATTATTGAGAACAAGGATCTTCCCTTGAAAATACAATATATTCTGAATGACTGTATTAGTATTAGATAGCTATATGGCCTACGTGCAGGACTGTACAAGGACTCGACAAGGACTCCATGTTATGACTATGATGTGACTGTCTCTTTGTGACACGTATGTCTTTCGATGTGTGACGTGACAATGACTATATAAACTGTGTACTGCCTTTATTCTGTCTGAGAGAAAGAAACAGAGTAAACCAGTGGAACTTGAGAGAAACTTAAATAAACTTCCAGAGTTTGGCACACCACGATCCGTCTCTGTCTGTTAAATCCTAACAGATTTGGTGGAGAATGCGCGGCTCCGTGTGTGCCATTCTCTGGATTGTTTTGGGGGAGTTTGCTACTTTTCTAATGATCAACAATGTCAAAATGCTTGGAGGGGAGGAGAGAGAATGAGCAGGACCCTGATGCTGGTAAGAACCTTGATACTGAAGTACAATCGAACTAACTTCATTTGCTTTGTTTTCTCATAGTTTGTCATTTGGGGAAACAAAGTGTGTTTTTTTAATGTTTGCCCACAAATATAGAAATATGAAACTGCAGATGTATTTGAAATAAGACCATTGTCATTCAAACAGAACCAGTGCCGTATAATAAGTGTTCTGTACCAAAATAATTATTAAAACAGTAATACACATATACTGCATACCATGTTAAAACCCTTGCTGTGGTTACTCTATGTATGCATTTGTATACGTTGTCAAACACTGCAACATTTAGCAATATAGCTTTACATCCCAAATTACCTGTGTATTGATATTTTACACATTTAACAGCAATGTCACTAAACCATCATTTGTCTTTCCGTATCTTTCCTTCTCTTCACCAGACAGACCTCGCACCTTCAGCCATTAACCCAAACCCTACGTCAATACAGCGGCCATAAACGCGTGCGTATTAATGCTGCGTGCGTTGTCGTTTGCACCTCATCCTCCTCATCCACTCGGTCTGGAACCTGATCCTCCATTGATCACATTGACTTTTCCTGAGACAGCTGTTTTTAAATGGTGTCATGGCGGCCCCTGAGGTCGCCAGAATTAGCCCCAGATTGTTCCCACTGAAACTCCTGTACGGCATCATGGGCACTTACTTTGTGTCTCATGTGGAGTCAGCAGGTTTAGGGCTCTAGGGAGACTAATAATGGGCTGGTAATATTTAGATAAGTGTTTTTTAGACAATACCCAAATGCCCTGCTCTCATTTACAACATATGCTTGGAATACATAGCGGAGATGGTTCATTTCTGTGGGGCGTTTGACAGAATAGGTTATGCTACTAATTAAAAAATAGCTTTGAATAATTATGCTCTGTGTCAACCCTGCATGCGTCAGTTTCTGATGCAATAAGGTTGAACCTTCAGAAAAAAATATGTGTCAGGTACTCGTTATTTATTATTTTATTATTTTATCAAGTTCTATGCGAATCCATAACACTCGGTAAACTCCATTCGAGGTCGGACATTTTGGACGGTCGCCGTGAAAATACCTGTTAAACCTGCTTCAACTTTATTTATTCGGGGACGGTGTATGGTGATCTTGATTTGGATTATTTGCATGTGCGTTTTTTAAAAGAAAAGAAAAGCTTTGCGGTTGACAATGCTAACCTGCTAGCTCTACGAAGACTGATACTGCTTGCGTTGGCTCCATTCAAAAGTAAACTCATCTTACTCTGTTTCTGTTTGTGTCACACTCAGCATTTGACCATAATTCCAAGGGTTATGGTCCTGCTGTTTATATTTTGCTACTATCTTTGGAAATCCACATACAGGTGCCTTCTGTCCCTGAATTAGATGTTAGCTAGTGGGTAGTGTGAGAGGGAACAGCCCAGCGTCATTCCTGATTGGCTCTTTGGTTGCTAAAATGTTGTCATCCCAGATTTTGACTTAAAATTTCTGCCAATAGCTTGTTTGAGTTAGCTCAAATCCGCTTCTTTGGTAATTAAACAACAAAATGGGTGATGTCAGTGCTTGGTTAGTCCTCTGGTTCTATGGTCTATTAAAAGCAGTCAAAGAAAGTCTGGTGTGTGTGTGACTGGTTGGTGGTGGTGGGAGGAGCCGATGGCACATACAGTACTGGTTGCCTCGCTTCTGGCAGTTAAAATGGCAGTTAAAATGATGTGAAAAGTGAGCACGCAAAGTGAAAGTGTTGGCCATTAAAAGTGTTGGCCATTAAAGTGAATAGGATCCATAAAGTGAAAAGTGTTGGCCATTAAAGTGAATAGGATCCATAAAGTGTAAAGGCCGTAAGTGAGGATCCATAAGTGAAACCATGGTTTAAAATTAAAAGTAATTATAAAAAGGGAAACGTGTTAAGGAGGCCTTTGTTACAAAAGCTTTGAAATTGACGAATTTCAGGCTGATAAATGACAAAAGTAAAGAAGCAACAATATTTCAGTGATCACGGTTTAAATTACATACAGAAAAGGGAGTTTTTGTTTTTGGAGTGAACAGAGTTCACCGGAGAATGCAGAGTTTTATCTAAAGTTGAGCTATGAGAGCTTTCGTGAGTTATTTACATTTTTTTACCGAGTTTTATCTACAGTTGAGCTATGAGAGGGTTGTATCCAACAGTTGTTTTTGTTTTTTAGAAAGAGATTTTAAGTTTAAATTAGTTTGCTACCTCGATAAAATAGAAGCGTAAACGTTAAAGACAAGAGTGCCTTTTGTTACTAGTGTGGAAAGTGATCACTTCTAGATTTGGATGACAAAAGTATAAAGAACAACATAAGTTATATTCGCTTTAAAAAGTAATCTTGAAAGTTATTCTTCTGTATCTTTCTGCCTGTGTGTGCGCGTCTGTGTGAAAGGAACCCCCCCGCCCTCGCTGCTGCTGAGCTGCTGCTCTGATTTAAAGGGGAGCTACTGCTTTAGGAATTTGGCTTTTCATAGTTTTTATTCCGTTAAATTTGCTAAATTTGCCATTTGAACATTGTGTTAGACACAGTTAAACGTTTACACCATTAGGGAATAGAAGTTTTGAATTAGTATGTTTTTGAAACCCAAAGATTAGTACAAAAAGCTTTGCTTTTCTTTTTAAATCTGCTGCTTATTTTGTGAGTCCATTATTGTATCTCTGATATATTTCATAGCTGTTTGTGAGAATTTTTTCATGTATTTTTTATTTTAGTTACAAAAGCCGTTTTTCAAACATTTAAATTAGAATCTGTTAAAAGTGATTAATGATTGTAGACTTCGTCTAAAAAGAAAGAGGGAATTAGGCTGTAAAAGTATTATATTATTAAGTTAAACTACCCAATTCACATGCAAGTGGTGACTTTTGTTTTTGTTTTGACTACACGCGTGACCTTGCTGCTGCTCAGAGACATGAGGAGGCAGCTCCGACGCACAATTGAGTTTTATTGAACCAAATCCAGTGTAGCTGGAGCTAAATCTTTTGTTTGATTTCAAGTTTTGTTTTAAATGTTTTTACAAATTAATGTTCATTTTTATAGAGATTTTTCATAATTTCATTTCATGGCGTCTTTCAAGAAACCCAAGGACGCATAGATAATTAATCACACAGTACAAAAGTATATAATACATGTTTTAAAGTTTAAAAGGTTGTTTGTTTTGAGTATAATTGTTGTTTTGATAACTTCTTTAGTTTCTGGTCTTAAAAATGTCATCATTAGTAAGAGAATAAGTAATCTTTATTTACATAGCGCTTGGGAAAACCCAGAGCGCTCAAATTGTTTTGACTTCAGAGAGAAAAACAATCTCATTCACATACTGATACTGTATCTGTTATTTTTAAATTGGCCGTTTCAAGGATTGTTTTTCAGACTCTGCCTCACTGTACGAGAGGTCACTGCTGGACACTGGACAGCGCAACGCCCACCCAGCCACAGGTCACAGATCAAAGAGCAAAGGAAAATGCCACCTCCTTGCCCCTCCCCACGCCACTGCAGAACTGAGTGGGTGTGAGAGAGACCGGGGCCATGAAAGAGAGGTATCTGGAGACGTGATGGGTGGAGCGTCAGGTAGAGACCTAGAGGGAGTTGAAAGTGTGTCTACGTGGTTTGCATCACCACAGTGTGACCTTTGAGACCTACAGGTGGTTCGAGGAGTCTTGAGAAACAACCCCAAAATTCACATACACACACACACACATACACACATTCATACACTCACACATTCACATTTACATATAGATACATGAAAAAGCAGAACATGAGAAAAAAGCATTTTAAAAGTTTACTCCAATGTAAACACATATTTTTAATTGTCTATCACTTGAATCTTTAGTTGAATCAGTATTTTTTTGAGACCAGAAATGTTCATTTGAATTCTATATTGTCATGGACTTAATTGACCTCTGTCCTGACACTTTTGATGTTTTGATTTTGTACTGTGTGAAGTAATTACATTGACTACATCTGATAAAAACCCAAACCCAAATTAGAGAAGTAAACTGAATCATTGTGCTTGCTTTTGTCTGAGAGACATTAGCAACAGCATGAATAGAAATTGTCTTTAAAGTAGAATCAAAGTGACTTAACCATAGAGAGTAACTACTGCATTACAAGCTGTGTACAGGAACTGAGACACTGCACCATTGACCAGAAGTGCATCGCAAATGACCTGATGTGCTTCAAGTGAAAAGACTGTATCTGGAGATCCTGATGTGCATCTGGAGAGACCAGAACCATGGCTTGGACCCTACTGATGTCCAAGATGACCTGACCTGATGACGACTGAGACTCACCCTCAGGGGACCCTGAGGACCTGAGGACCTGAGAGAAAACTGGGGAGTGATGTTTATATTTTTGAAATCATACATTGATGAGTGCTAAATGAGAGAGATACTCATGATTCTTTCTTTTGTTTTTGTTTGTCCCTAGCTTCTGGACATCTGATGATCTATTGGACACAGCCATTTGCAGAACAAGAACCAGCCAATGAAAAACGTGTATTGCCGATGCTATTGCTACAACCGGAACCTGTGACAAATGCAATATACATGTTAAGTATTCAGACATCTGACAGACAAAAACTTTGAAAATGATAAAGTATAAGTATTGTAGCGTTTTAATAGATGTTAAATAGTAGTAAAAGAGTAGAATTTGACTTCCTTTGTTTTTCATAAACATATTTCCACGTAAGAGTTAAAATAGTACCCTACAATGTTATCCTTTTGATAGATCAGCTATAATATTAGAATCAGAGTATTTTAGAGATATTAAAAGTGACAGAAGTCACAAATTAGAAATATGCCTTTGCTCAAGCTGCAGCCGAGCTTTTGAGTCACAATAGTGTAGAAATAGGAATAGATAAATGCATCAACCATGGATGCTTTCAAAAATAGAGAATATTCTTAGCCAGTGCTAATATCAAATGGTAAAGGGACCATTTCACAAGCATTTACTTCAAAAGTAGATAAAGTTACTTACAGTTTTATTAGATACTTGCCAAATTCACTTGTGTTCAAACATGAGTGAATGTTGACAATACAAAAAGTTCATATGAGTGTAGCCTAGATTAATGCCTAGATCAATGAGATAGATTACAACCAACAGAGATTCAAAAGCATTTTGATGTATTTGTGTATAGCACAAAAACACAATAGTAGATATTTAGATATTGAGAAGTTTCCAGCACAAACACCATTGTAGAATAACTGACCCCAACCCCAAACCTGCTCAAATAGATTAGCTCTTGTAAGGATAATACTAATTTGATTAATGATGTTCATTCATCCCAAACTGCCTGACAATAATATCTTTAGATAATAAAAAGTAATAAATCACTGACCACTATAGAAGTGTAAATGTTGACCATTTGCCTTACTGTGTTCACAGTTTTATTCCTGAGAATGAGAGTAGACATGGAGCAAAATCCCACTGATAATAAGCCACTGATAATGAGAGTGTAAAACCACAGAGAGATTTGTTAGATTAAAATGTATGTTTAAGAATATGGCTCAATAGAAGATTAAAAAGTGAAAATAATACAGTGAAATAAGTGAAGTGTAGTGTAAACAATTAGCATTAGAATAAAAGTATAGAGTAATAAAAGTGAAATTAGCTTCAAATTTGAGACTCAGCTCGTTTTTGTCTGTGTTTTGACTGAATCTGCTGAGTTCTTGTGTGTCCAATAGTGTTTGTTTGTTTTTATTTTTGATTTGTTTTTTGTTTGTTTATTTACTTTGTTTTTGTTTGTTTTGTTTTTTCCCAGGATAGAGGATAAAATCCACTGATATTGATTTGATGATTATGAGTTTAATGCATACATTTTCTTTGTTTTTAATAATTTTTTGAATTTTTTTTTTTTGAATTTTTTTTTTCTTTTTCCATTTTATTGATTGATCGATTTGAGTGATCACATGTGATTATGTGATCAAAGGGGAGGGTATTAGTATTAGATAGCAATATGGCCTACGTGCAGGACTGTACAAGGACTCTACAAGGACTCCATGTTATGACTATGATGTGACTGTCTCTTTGTGACACGTATGTCTTTCGATGTGTGACGTGACAATGACTATATAAACTGTGTACTGCCTTTATTCTGTCAGGGGAAAAGAAACAGAGTAAACCAGTGGAACTTGAGAGAAACTTAAATAAACTTCCAGAGTTTGGCACACCACGATCCGTCTCTGTCTGTTAAATCCTAACAACTGCTCTGTTTAATATTTTTGTCAATCCTCTGCCTCCACAAGTTACCAACATTTGGTGGGATCATATTATATTATTTATTATCTATCTAATGTCTTAAATTATAATTATTGTCTTGAAGTGATCTTCGTTTGAAGTTACAGGGAAAAATAGAACTTAAGGCTGCAAGTGACAACAAAAGCCCTACACTCTGTGTGCCTGCCTGTGCCTTCCCTGGACTCCTGACATATTTTATGTTGCTGTCTCTATTTAAATGCTGTTTGCCATTGAACAACACTGTGGGACAACAAAGAGGACTGCTTCTTTATGTGTGCATGTTCTCCTCGTGTCTGCGTTAGTCTCATCTGGTTTCCCCTACTATTAACATATGTACAATACAACTCCGAGACATCAGATAGAAATTAGTCCTAGTTACAATCCAGTGTCCACTGTCCCAATGTTCAAAATAAACAATGGGACAGTGGCATGGAGCCAGCAGTTTTATACATGATGGAGGTAGGTGCAATTTTGAAAAGGATGGCTTGAAATGAGTTTTATTGTATAAGGGGACAAAATGCCCCCAGTTTTTCCCCTTCAATACAAACGATTGGCTAATCTCCGTTTTTACATTTTACTTCATACAGGGCCTCTAGGTGTGAGTCTGTGACAGTCACTCATAGACTTATGATCAAAGATATTGTTGTATATATACAAACACATTTGTTGAAGTCCATCTATCAACATGATTGTAGCGACACTGGAGCTGTGCGTGTGATATATACAGTCTTTGCGTGTGATACGTGCTAGATGCACCGTGTTCTACTGCCTGCAGGGAGCAGTGTTGCAGAGAGATAAAATCAGCTCAGGGAGGGCGTTTGTTTAAACCAACTTTAGTTAAATATCTTTCAGAGCACGTGGAATAAGACTTAACACCGCCCATGCAGACACACCGCTGAGTAAAACATTCGCACTTCCTCCACGTCCCACGTGTCTCTCGGTGAGCACAAAAACACTAGTGAGCATCTACAAGTCCAGCTGCAGCAGCACATGGTGTCCAGCCCGTATCTGCCCTGCACACAGACCCGGAGGAGCTCAACTCAAGCCCTTGTTACAAAACAAAAGTTGGCGTGTTATAAAGTCATTATAGCATGTGTGCTAATCTGTGACTGCCCATCCATCCATTCTTAGACAGCATTAGATTGTAAAAGGACCTGCTTCACTTCGTGCTTGCAGAAGCTCCACTCACTGCCCACCGCGACCTGCACCATGTCCTCCGCCGGGAACCAAGTGAAGAGCGTCCCCATTCCCACCCGAGTGCTCACCCTCAAGGACTGGTCCCAGCTTCCCGACTGCTACAGCCAGACCCCCGGGGGAACCCTCTTCTCCACCACGCCTGGGGGTAAGGGACTGCTCATGCCTGATATAGTCTAGTTTTACAATATTATTAATACGTTGCTTTCCAAAAAATCAGCAATATAGCCACCTACTTTTACTTTTTAGTTTAGTTGGAGAAAATGTTGGGCTTTTGTTATAATTCCTTGTGATGTAATTATTGTTTGGTATTTTACTGGAATAAAGATCGCATTTGTTTGATGTTTGCATGCCTTGCAAACATAACATTTCTGTTGGCTGCAGGCCTCGTGTGTCAACAACTCTTTATGTGGCTCAGAACGCGTGTGTAAGTCCCTACATGTTCTATTACTGAAGTTAATATGATAGATTTATACAGATGCATACTCTCATGGAAGTCTACTTAATAATGTGGGGTTCAAATCTGGACTTGAGGCAGGTCGATTATGTTGTGCTTAATGTAGTTATCTGCTTTTTTTCCCCTACATGTGTAAAATGTGTCAAGTTTATATTTCTCTACCATGTAAATCACTGAAGTACTTTATTTTGTTTTATTCTAAGATATCATAAAGCATGCAGCATGTAGTTTAGTATGTAATGGTTAAGCATGTGCATCTCCTTCAAATTCACACGACTAATATAACCAATACACATCATTCCACAGTTGTAAATAAACAGGCATGCATGGACTACATTTAAACTCGACTGGACAGATATGATGCAATACTCTAAAATTCAACAACAACAAAGGTATGAACTCGTGACATGGCTTTTGCAGAGGGTGGATGAGGCAACATGCTCCCACTGTCACCTGATTGGTCACTCCTGGAGTCGGGTTGTCCAACACTGGCCTATCCCTGCCAAGCTGTGCAGCATTCAGGAACTTGGTAGAACATTATGTACAAGTTATGATTGACGCTGCTTCAAATGTGGATGTAAGGAAGTGTTTTGTGCAACTCTGCTGATATGGGGAAATGATTGTAAACATGGTTGCACTTTCAATTAAACCTTCAGATTCATACTTTAATATTTGACATAGAAGGAATGTAATACAATTCTGAAACATGGGATTTTACAGTCATACAAATAAATACATACAAAATGATAAAACTGTACATTTAACTATTTTAGAGAGAACTAAAACTTGTGAATGTGTACATTACAAGCCAGACACCTTCTATAGCAGCTTACTCTTGCATTCCTGCCCCCTTTTTATGCCCCACTTCCACGTCTCCTCCCCTACTCTCACCCCTTTGTCCGGGACATTACATAACATGTTTTCCATATAACGGTTAAAACTTCACCTTGAAGAAGTAGAGCAGGATTCTGGTACCACAGCCATAACCTTGTTATCACAACTGCCTTTATGAGACTGAGTTTATTATTTAGTGAGTGTTGGATAGGGCTGGTGTTTGATTTGGAATGTATTATAATCACCAAGGAAGTGCTGTTTAAAAAACCTTAGGCTGTAATTTCTGCTACACCTAAACTTTGGCATTTGTTTTGTAACATCAACTTCAATGGTCACTAGATTTTCAGTTTATATTTCAGTCCTTTAAATATTAAAGCTCCCTGACATACTTACCATAATGCGATTCCATTGATTTGAGAAGAAACATGGAACTTTCACTTTTAAAAAATGTTTTCCTTTTTACTTTCAAAGAATCAAAACACATGGCTGCAGCCAGGATTTTCCAAAAATAAAATTCTCTGTGCTCTGATTTCCAAGAAATCTGCAGCACCGCCCTCCTGTCTTTGACTTGGAAATTCTTGTGCAACAGACGAAACAAAGTTTTTTTCTACATCATTAGCCGCGTTTCCACCGCAGGAACTTCGGGGTAATTTTATAGGGCCAGCCTTGTTTGTGTGTGTTTCCACTGCTGGAACCTCCCCCACAGCGCCATTTACAAGAACATGTACGGGGACCAACAAATTGCCTCCTCCATGCTAGGTACTCTGTTCGGCCCTAAAAAGCTCCTGGTCGGGCTTGAGGTTAACCTGCTGCTGATTGGCTCTAATGGCAGCAGAAAGCACCAAAACAACCAGCGTTTTTTTAAATCCAGCAGCATTAGCCTAGCAGACACCACACTGGAGACGACAAACAACAGCAAGACGTACAATAAATGGACGAATGATGAGGCGCTGCCATTGATTCAGAGGGGGTTTGAGTCATCGCGGCGAAATGAAAGATATATTAAGACGTATCAGGGAACCTCGAAGCACTGGGGATTCATCACACTCAAAAACAATGCAGTGAAAACTAAGTTAAAAAAACTCAAATGGCACAACAACCGGAGCGGTCCTGACTGTACAATAAATAAATGGGTTTTGTAATGAGTTTTGCTTATGCTGCGATTGAAACTTATGAAGTCGCCGAGGGGTCTGCAGTGGAGACACGGCCACTGAGAGGACAATTCCTGTAGAAGTTCCACCCCCCCTCCTTTTACCAGGAACTCCTGCGGTGGAAACGCAACTATTGTTTGTACAAGTTCATGTTCAAACAAGTTTTTATTCTTCTAAAATTAACCAATTGAGATGCCAGAATTAATCTTTTTTATTATTTATTTATTTATTTATTAATAGAGAACGGGGAGGTAATGGTAGTTAACAATAGTCAAACCAGTCTGCACTCTGAAAGTTGTTTGTGCTTTTCATCATGGACAGTAAGGTTAACCCCTCCTCACACTGAAGAGCTGTCGATCAATGAAACTCTAGGCCCCGCCCTCTGGCCTGAACAATGAAGGGCAGAGGCGAGGTTAGCTCCATTGTTGGCTAGGTGGTTAGTTTCATTTAATCATATACAATTTATGACGTGTTCCCTGCCATGCCAGGGTACATGGACCCTGAGGCTGATAAATAAAATGCAAAATATATTAAAACCGAAATTTGTAATCCAACAAGCATTAAGAAATTATTATTTTTTCCTCCAGGAACCCGCATCATCTACGACAGGAAGTTTCTGTTGGACTGTCGAAACTCGCCCATTGCCCGCACCCCTCCCTGTTGTCTGCCTCAAATCCCGGGGGTCACGGTACCTGCCACACACCCCTTGGGCAAACTGCAGGAGCTCAAAGAAGAGGATGAGGAAGAAAAAGACATTGCAGGTACTTTTTTTCTTTTGATGTCACAAGTTCGGGAATATAGACTTTTTAATTTATTTATTATTATAGTTGTAGGAACGGGCACTTGATCAAAATATATTGTAACTGTTTTTTTGTTAAATGTACCCACATGTAGTTTATTTGACCTGGCAGTGGTCCCATATACTTGCACCCCTTTTGTTTAGCTTGTGCCAATGCAGCAGGTGCAGAGGGCTGGGCGGATGTGCTGACATATGACTGCAGCAGCAGCATTTGTTCAGTGCTTGGGAGGCTCCACATTTGTTGGTTTACGGTATCACTTATTGTGACAACCTATGGAGCCTTTCTAACCAGTTCCGTTGACACACTAGAAGTAAAATGTAAATAAAAGTTTCAGAAAAGTTGACAATAAAATAGACGAGTGACTATTTTTCAAATATTGTTTTTAGTTGACATAAGGCTGAAAATACGCTACAATGAATGACAACAAAAAGTCACATGATCTGTGGTGACAGCCATGTTTCATTGACTGGAGATGGTGGTAAACATGTGTCTGGACGTTCAGGTTTTAGGGGCGTGTGTCCAACTGTCTAACTGTATCTTTTTTATCTCTGTTCTTTTCAGACGACAGTCAGTTCGAGATGGACATCTGAGCGTCAGTATTATCTCCTGTGGAGAGTTACACAAACACCTCCTTGGTCGTTATGACCTTTATGCATCTTATGTAAAGCTTTTTCACTTTTTTAATACAAGGCTTTTGTGAGAAACCAAATGATTAAACTCAGGGTGTTTTGGACCCTAAGGTGTATTTAGCAGTAAATTGCATTAACTAAGTTGATTGGTTACTCACTTACCTGGATTTGGGAGAAAATCCATTTTGATTGTTTTTTTTATCTTTTGTAAATAATGGAAATGTCATAACCTGTGTTGTTTTTTTTTTTTTTCCTTTTCTTTTTTTTTTTTGAATATGAGTTGTGGCTTTAGAACGTATAAGGTATGTTTCCTTTGACTTTCCCTCCGAGGGAAAGATTGTTGTGGGGGCGAGGGTGCAGTGCCTGCCTGAAATTGGCACGAGCTTTTTTCAATGGTTTGTTTTGTTGGATGTGAATAATTTCAAATAAAGATTATTCAGCCACTGACTGTCCTATCATCATTATTGTTGTTCAATTGGAGAATAATCAAGTCATTTGCAGATAAACCTCACAATCTTTGCTCTTAGCACCTTGTGTAACAGAAAGGCATGTGGCCACAGAAACCCAGTGAGAAAATGAGTTGCATAAGAGTCTAATGCAAGTTTGTTCTGTGTATTCAACTCAAAAGCATTATGCAGACTGTGTATATAACTAATGGGCACTTAGTGAATGATTTATGTTGTGCATTCCCCACCTTCCCAGGTGGTGACCTGATTTTTGAGAAGTCTGATACCAGGATCTTGATTAAACAAAAATATTGATATTTTACAGTGAGTGCTTTGCATCTGCAGATCTAAATGTTATTTGGATCAGACCCCACTCCTATCCCTGTGTGGAGTGAGAAGACAATACTTGTAAAGCACTTAAACTCTGGTCTGTGAAAGGCGCTATATAAATAAAGGTTACTTACATGAACCAAAACAAAAGGTGGACCCTACGCCAGGACTCTTGAGTTGCACCTTTTAAATGTGCATACGTCAATATAAAAATACATAATTGATTTATAGATTGTACTGCCATAAATGTATATAAAAAATAAAAAAAACCCTGTCCTGCATGTTGGGCTGAGTTCTATCCAGACCTTGATCCAGACAAGCCTTCCGGGTTTATGAAGAAAGGACAGCTGCAGCTTAAGGCCAGACACCAGTAAACTATGTGGGTTGGGCTTGACACCTGCTCTACTTGGACTCTCTCATCTCAAATGTATCAAACTTTATGCATAACTTTTGCCCAAAACATTCTTCTATACTGACAGTCTACATTGAAGTGTGAAACCTGGTTCAGAAAAGTATGTGTGTCTTGTTGGGTTTGTGTGAGTTTTAAAGCAGGTCTAAATGTTTCAAGTGTGATGTAGGTCAGAATGCTCAGCTGCTCCAGGGCTCACCCACCTCTCTTGGGACTGTGCACATTAATATATTATAATACGTGATATTTTTAGTCCTGCATGCTAAGTATTTGTGTATTGTACTCGCTCAACATGATGTAATTCCAATGTTAAACTAGTTTCATCATGTGCAGATCGACAGAGATAGTTCAGTGATTATACAGTAATTAAGCAAAAACAAAAAAAGCATTGATATAAAGACCAGGGGCCGTATTCCTAAAGATTCTAAGAGTCCTCTCAGAGAGCTCCTATCTTAACCTAAAAACTCCTAGCTAGGAGTCTTAGCTTAAAAGTTATTCCAGAACACTCTTAGAGAACTCTGAGCAAGGAATTGACAACAACTCTTATCTTAGTCAGGAGGCGTGGCCGACCCCGTTGCTAGGTATGAGTCATCATTTCAGACGCTGTGATTGGTTGATCCTAAAAGTTAGAGAAACCATATTTTTGATAATGGCCAAAATAAGGATCCTCTAATGGACAAACTCAATCATAGAATCTAATCTTAGGAATACTATGTCATTGTAAATAATCAGAAAAGGTAGAAAGTCAGATGTATTTACTAATATTGTCTAACTTACTGTTGTAAGTTTGACTTTTACACCACATTAGAGCTTGCTCAGCACCAATTTATCACACATATTTAACACATATTTAACAAACGTACATGAGCACTTATATATATATATATATATATATATAATTAGATGATTATAACATTAGGATTAGTAAAGGCTGTGATACTGAAAGACGTAAAAGGAAAAAATATTAATATAAGCATTTTATACATAAACAAATCAAGTGCATGTTATTGTGAATGTCACTGTTGCATAACTGTAAATACACCATGGAATAAACTAAGCTGTAGCAACCACACTATTTAAGTAAATTTAGAATGATAAATGGAGGGTGGGAGTTTAAAAGTATTAACTTCTTCACACTCCTTTTTGAACTGGATTGCTGTTAATAAAACAAAACTGTATATTTGTACATGATGACTTTTACATGATTGACTTTTAAACATGATTCCTGCAGGATCCAATCTGCAGTGTTTTACTGATTCACTGTCATCCAGTGTATAGAATATTTCTCCTGCCTCTACCGTCCACCATTTTGTCCTCTTAGGGAACTTTTTAAGTTGCTAAAAGTCCTCCTCTCAACTCTTAAGGGATCTCACCTTAGGAGCACTCTTAAGAGCTAGGATTCTTTAGGAATAGCTTTTTTCTTAACTAGAAGCTACTCCTCACTTTTAGGGGAAATTCTAAGAGTTGGTCAAGATTCTAAGAAAATTCTTAGAATTTGGCCACTAGGAGCAACTTTTAGCACTAAGAATCTTTAGGAATACGGCCCCTGATCAAAACCTGTTCCAACTTGAGCTGTTCACCTGAAACGAACTGGACACTGTGAAAGGGGATTTCTCATTACTGCATATGTCCATAAGATAAGATAAACTTTATTTATCTCACAATGGAGAAATTTACTGAATCCACATTGAGCAGAAACTGATGTGGTATGTTTAACCTGGCTCAGGAACAATGCTTTGATGTGTGAGAAAAAAGGTTGATATGACTTTTTTAGTTATTGGGGGGGGAAAAGTCCAAGGTTCAAGGCACTGGAAGCATGAATGAGGTGTAACTAAATACATGTACAGAGAATATTTATGCAGAAAACACATTTTGAGTGATTTGATTTCACCCTTTAGTGGTATTCAGAATACAGTTACTCTCCTAAAATCAAAGTAATATATCTGGCATTGGATCATGTAATTCTGGCGTCAAATGGCGCAATGAAAAAAACATCAATATGTGTGTGTTTTGAAAAGACTAATGGTAATGAAAAAACAGTGAAAAAGAAAACTTGTTTTTAAACGTATGTTGTTTTTAGTTACTTTGATACTATGCAAATTGACGTAAATAATGTATTCCCAATATTTAGAATAGACTATACTGTGATACTGTGATATATGTTTCAAAATATACTTTAAATATGGGTAAATACATGTGTCGAAGTATTCTTCCCAACATTGACTGAAGGTTATAAATGCAGTTGTATGGGCAGTTCATTTTTGGTGAATGTAAAGTCTTATCCACATTTTTACAGTCACTATTGTTTATGTTTGTTTATGTGTTACTTTTTAACATTTAGGTTGGAGGTACAGTATATCCCTCCCATGCCTCTCAGCCCTCTGGCATGTCTCGTACAGTGCACATAACACTGGGATACTTCAGCCTCTTGTATACTGGGGGTTCTTCTGACATACTTAAGAATGACACACATTTGAGATAGCGGCTGTCTGTGAAATGGATCAGTATTGTGAAGCCAAATCAGGTGCTGACAAGTTTACTTATAAAAGTCAGGTTAAGCTCCATACAGTATGTGTAACTACAGCCCAACATCAATTGTCTTTGAGCTTCAAACTCTTTTAAATATTTTGTTTTAGTTGCTATGTCACAATTTTATCATTTCAATAAAATTAAACTCCAAATATTTTTACACTTCAAGAAGATAGGGGGGTGTTGTGGTGTTGACACATATTGGTCTAATGGACATATTTGCTTTAGTCCTGAACCAATAAGTGTGAATGGCTCATTTATTCAAACCAAAAATGTAATGTAAGTGACCTGCTACATACTTACTTACAAGATCAAGAAGAGTACACATCTTTTTTTTGTTTATATTTAATACAAATCTATAGAATTATTTAGATAAACTATTTGAAATGTATAAGTCAAATTTATCCAGTGTTTGTTACTTATGAATGAATACAACTTTTTTGCTGTTGGATCTTAATGCTTGGTTCATGTCAACTTTGCCATATGTTTTTTTAAGAACGATACGTCCCATCTTTATAGTAAAATCAAATACTCTCGGCATAAACAAGACAGCCTTGACTGAGCAACATTCAGTCAGAGGACGAGCCTCTCCTTCAACTATGACCTGTGCCCTACCCTTTTCCGTATACAAAATAGCCCTCCATGTTCTCCCCCCTCTCCCCTCTCCCCTCTCCGGTGGCCAGGGTTGGGTGCAGTTGTCTATTTTTGTGCAGAACACTACAGTGCTGGCTGGGGGCTGAATTTCCTGGGCGACATGTAAACAGATTTTCAAAAACACTGTCTGGCTGCTTCCACTGAATGAGAGACATGCACAGACAAAACACAAGTGAATTTGGTTGCAAAACAATATTAGTCTAGCTTTGTATTCAATTTGAAGCTGGTATTAGTTTTAGTTTGGAAACTATAAATATATGTATATATCAACCAATGTGTCTGAAAACAGCTTCAACAGCACAAAGGTAAAATGCATCCAATGTCCAAAGGCAGTGAGGAAAAAACAAGAAAGAAATCAAGCACATAAGACTACATATGAGAGAATAAAGACACAATAGATAAACAATGCATGACAGGTACACCCAAGAAAAAGAGTCGAAGAAAACATTCCATTTGGTCCAATTGGCTGACAGTCGTCCTGCTTTTTTGGACTCTGCAGTCTCCCCTGGTTACTGCTCTAGTTCTTATTCCACATTATTACTTATCAAACCCTTGAAAAGGAAAGAAGCAAGTTCATTGTGGGTAATGTTTTT